GGTCGGATCCTTGGAGTGATGGTTGCTTGAAGTTTTGGAACCTTTCGTCATAGCCAGCTTTCGAGTGATCTATTTGATCTCAGCCTGTGACAGTCGTTCCCCACAGATGGTGCCAACTATTGATGCAAGATTTGGCTRAGGTACGAAAGATGATATCGGAGATCGGCTTCAAGCACTTGGGCAGTTTTTCGGGGTACCTGCAAAGAGATGGCCACTCCGACGCTCAAGTTAGTATTCAAGCTGAGCTCAATAGGTAAGCATCAGACAGGTTTTTCATACCTGGAGTCATGGACAAAGAGGGTAGTTATAGCGGTTGGTGGGCAGATATACGTCCGATCGGGGTATTTCCCTGCTTGGTGAGGAGCCTGGCTAGGAACCGTTGGCCGTTGGCAGCGACCGGTCTGATCCCTGCTCTAATGCACGCCATCGTAAGGTTTCTCCACCTGTTCGTCGTCGAGGTCGACCTGACAGGTCGGCTTTCCCGATGTCGTCATGCCCAGATCAGCCGCGTGCAGTCACCCCTAAGCATTCATCATCAAATGACTCACTAAACTCGCCTTCAATATCACTAACTTCATTTTCTTCCTCAATTCCTTCCCTTTCTACATTTTCTTCCCCAACTCTCTCCATCTCTTTATTTTCTTCCCCAACCCTCAATTCCTTCTCTCTCCCAGCCTCATCCATTTTTATGAAATAAAAACACAAAAACACACGTTCAATTTTAGTAAAATCTTAACAAACAAAACCTAGACTCTGTTACTAAAACAAAATTYCATTTTCAAGAAAGATCAAAAGTATTAGTAACAATTATTCTAACAACAAGCAAGAAAAATTTTCTATTTTTCCTTACCTCCTTTGGAAGCGTTACTCAAAGGTAGTGAACAACGTTGTGTCTTCTTAGCTTAGAGACATTTTACGTTYTTGAATACCGTAGTGAACAAAGTTTCGTTGGCGCCACACACTAGTCCGTTMGAGTCTTCCTTCCTTTTTTCTTGCCAAGTCTGCTCGTGTTCTAGTACGATTCTCTCCACATTTTCTCTTCCTTTTTCCTTGGCCAAATACCACGATTTTCTCTATTTTTTAAAGGGTATGTAAGATTTATAAACAACTATTTGTTTTTTTTWAAAAAATACAAATGCCACATATTTAAAGTAGACACATCAACAAATGYCACTTAAGACCTTAAAAGGCCATGTAAGTATTACATTAGTGATACTAACCCAAATTTAACTTTAGGGACCATTTATAACCATTTTCTAAAGGTCGGAGA